ACTGGCACACACACGGGCTCACACACGGGCTCACACACGGGCTCACACACAGGCTGACACACAGGCTCACACACACACGGGCTAGCCCACACACAGGCTGACACACACACAGGCTGACACACACACGGGCTCACACACGGGCTGACACACACACACGGGCTGACACACACACGGGCTAGCCCCGAAACAGGCTCACACACACACGGGCTGACACACACACAGGCTGACACACACACGGGCTCACACACGGGCTAGCCCCCACACAGGCTCACACACACACGGGCTGACACACACACAGGCTGACACACACACGGGCTCACACACGGGCTGACACACACACACGGGCTGACACACACACGGGCTAGCCCCGAAACAGGCTCACACACACACGGGCTGACACACACACAGGCTGACACACACACACACAGGCTCACACACGGGCTCACACACACGCTGACACACACACAGGCTGACACACACGCGGGCTAGCCCCCACACAGGCTCACACACACACAGGCTCACACACACAGGCTGACACACACACAGGCTGACACACACGCGGGCTAGCCCCCACACAGGCTCACACACACACAGGCTCACACACACAGGCTGACACACACACAGGCTGACACACACGCGGGCTAGCCCCCACACAGGCTCACACACACACAGGCTGACACACACACGGGCTAGCCCCCACACAGGCTCACACACACACAGGCTGACACACACAGGCTGACACACACACAGGCTGACACACACACACACAGGCTCACACACGGGCTCACACACGGGCTGACACACAGGCTGACACACACACGGGCTCGCCCCCACACACGCACACACACAGGCTCACACACACACACGGGCTGACACACACACAGGCTGACACACACACGGGCTCACACACACACAGGCTGACACACACACGGGCTCACACACGGGCTGACACACACACACGGGCTGACACACACACGGGCTAGCCCCGAAACAGGCTCACACACACACGGGCTGACACACACACAGGCTGATTAGCCCCCACACAGGCTGACACACACACGGGCTCACACACACACGGGCTAGCCCCCACACAGGCTGACACACACACGGGCTCACACACACACGGGCTAGCCCCCACACAGGCTCACACACAGGCGGGCTCACACACAGGCTGACACACACTCAGGCTCACACACAGGCTGACACACACACGGGCGAGCCCCCACACAGGCTGACACACACACAGGCTGACACACACACGGGCTGACACACACACGGGCTAGCCCCCACACAGGCTGACACACACACGGGCGAGCCCCCACACAGGCTCACACACAGGCGCGGCCCGCGCGGCCTTCCCCGCTGCCCCTTGGCAGTGACCCCCGGCCGAAGTCAAGGTCAGGACGGCGCAAGCCCGCTCCCCGACCTCCACGGCCCTTGGTGGGCGGGCGG